GCCTTTTAAGCATGTGTTTAAGGACCTTGCGCTTGTCCTTGTTCTCTGTCAGGTATGGCGTTAGTGCCTCACCAAACAGCTTTGCCCCTTGGTACGGAGCCGAAGCCAATTTCCACTTGGATTTGGTATCCGCCTGCCAGTTCTTTAGCCAGAGGATGCGCCTGCTCGTGTTGTTTGCCGCCATTGCCTTGGCTGAAAACTTGGTCGCTAAAAGTGTTGCGTCCGACGCATATTCCGTGGCCGCTACCATTTTGCTGAGTTCCTGGTGAGTGCGTATATCCTCCATGGGAACCCGGCCCTGTAACTCACGGAGCCAACAAAGTGTGGCTCTGGAGAAAAAGGACGCGGAGGTAGACGCCCTGGTAGCCCAAGCTATTGCCTGGTGCGTTCTCCTGTAGTTGGACTCACTCTTTCGGTCCTCGGCTTTAAGAGCCTCAGCAAAATCTCCTGATATGGCCGTGTCCGATATCAGGGGACCTATGGGTTCGTCCACCACCGGTACCTCCAATGTTCCCTCTAGCTCCCTTGCTACGTTAAATAGCTTCCTCTCCGCATTGCTAGGAAGCGGTAGGGAGGTTGGCGCTGCCCACTGTTTCCTTATTGTGTTTAGGAACATGGTCGGGCATGGTATGCGGTGTTGAGTGGTTACCTTTTCGGCGAACGTCGGCTCAGCCTCCGTGTCAACTGTGACAGGCTCCGCTGGTGTCCCATGCCCCAGATGGGCTGTGGCCTCAGCCTTGCGCAGAATAGTAACAAAAAGAGAAGGGTTAAACAGGCCGCTGAAGGACGGCCCTTGAGGTGAGGTGTCCTCCTCCTCCTCAGACATTTGAATCCCTTGTGACGTACCTGGCTGGTCCAGGTAAGCTTCCTCAGAGACCGACGAGTCTGAGATGGAGGAGAGGTCCTGATGGTCCTCCGTTTCCTCCCGATGCCTCGTTCTAAGTCCTAGAGGCTTGGCTTTTGAAGTTTGAGCCCTGGCCTCAAATGCACGGTCCACTGCCTGTGCTATTAGGGTAGCTAGCAGATCCCCTGTCAATGCAGGAGGAGTGACCATTGCCTGCGACCCTGCAGGTGCTGTGGTTAGCATGGTCCTCGGGGTTTCCTGTAACCTCCGTGGGGAGGGGGATCGGGAGAGCGATGAGAATTCGCCTATCCCACCCTCTGTTTGGGACTGTGATGAGTTCCCTAATGACCAAATGGCCCGTGGGGATGAAGGGAGACCCAGCGGTAGATCAGGACCTATTCCCCCATTCTGCCTATTTTCAATTCTGGCCCTTTTCTGGGCTCTGTCGAACTCTTTTTCTAGGGCTTGGTGTCTTCTGATTGCCTGTTTGTCAGCCTTCTTTGATGACTTCCTTGCAGCCTTTCTAGGGGCTGCAGAGGATTCCGAATCCTCTGAAGCAGGTGCTCCAGAGGATGAAGGCGGGGCTCCAGTGGAGGGAATGATTGCTTCCTCCATTCTCCACTAACGCTGGGCCGCGATAGGGGGGACCCAGGTAGTAGGAGAGCTCCAACTTTGAGTAAGGACAGGCGCACTACTGGGGGCGTCTGGAACTCAGGAGCAGACTCTGCAAAATTGTCAGAGTTAGTCACTGTGCACGGATAAGAACAGGCACGCTAATGGGAATGCCTGGAACCCGGCTTGACTATGGTGGGTAAGGACAGGCACGCGACTGGGGATGCCTGGAACCCACCACTAAATCCAGAGGCGTACGGGCCACTAATGGGGGACCCGAAGTCTGGAGGAGCCAAAGGCAACTAAACACAGTTAGTTATGAAAGGTTCTTATTTACTTTAGGTAGAAGACACCAAGTCCTGGAACCAGTAGCTATGTGTCTGATTTGAATGTCTCTGAATGAATAATAGATGCTTTAGTACCCCAGTACTGCTTGCCTATTAATTCACTCCAGCGGCTGAACCTAGCTTTCTTAAGGAACTTTAACTCCCCTGTTTGGACAAAAAATATGGCCGCCGCTGCCAGGAAACTACTGCGCATGTGTTAACAAGGCTGCCTATGCCACGTGCGGTTGTAACAAAGAGCTGCGCGTGCTTCCAGCTGTGCAGACAATGGCGCCTCGTTTAAAAAATCCTGAGCAGCCTGGAGTGAAAAGACTGCTCCTTCGCACGCCAGCTGTTTCCCTTAATCAATCTCCCTCCCAGCATGCGTCCCCTTTGTCCTCCGCTTCCCTCGCTAACTGCTTGCCTTTCTGTCTTTTTTTTGTTTGTTTGTTTGTTTGTTTTAAACGCGAGGGGTTGCCCGAGCCTCCCCGTTTGTTTAAGGCGGCTGCCGGCTGCTGGAAGGTGGCTGGGGTTGGTTAGGGAGGGGAGTTAGGGATTTCCCCCTTTTAAGTGGGGGTGGTTTCCCCTGTAGGAATCTGACTTCCTGAGTTTTACAATTTAGCAAGGAAATTTTTGAGTGGTCAATTAAATTGAATTAAATTATCTCTAATTAACTTTTAAACTAAGCAATTTCAGCTACTAGAAAAAATCCCCCCTAATGGAAAGGAACTATACCTGCCCAGGAGCCAAAAGTTGTAGATGTCTCTGCATGGCCAGATCAGTCAAGACTAAAGGATCATGGTCCAAGACGGGGCGTGGCAACTTTGGCTGACTGATCTGATTGGCCAGGAATACAGTCTCAACCCACTGCGTGGATTATCCATCTCCAGTGCTGGAGAATTTTGCTTTTCTTTACATTTAGTAGTTAACAGAAATACTACAGACGTTTATCCAAACATTATATAATGTATCTATTATGATATTTTTAAAAATTAAGCATGATTAAATTAATTTCATGTGATGAATCAATGTTTTATTTCAAGCAACACTATTTGGTGTTTCCCTAGCACAGTGTTTTTCTGGTCCGTAGGTCTGCATAGATATGTCTTGCTTTAACATTATTTCGTCCTGCTTTAATTCTATCAAGGCTGGTAATTTTGATCTGGTTGCATCTAAATGGTGACCATATGGGCCATGGCATAAAACTGGATAAATATAGGAAGTATCTGACACGAGGTCAAACATAAGAAAATCAAAACCTTTTCTCCTTTGTTCCAGAAGTAATAATGGACAAAAAATAATGAACTTAAGTTATAAGTAGGTAAATTTTGACCAACTATTAGAAAAACTACCTAAGGGCAATGGCAGTTGGATACTAGTATCAATGATCAGAAATTGGATATTTTCATGTAAGGATTGGAAAACTGTATGTTGGAGATGCTTTAATCTGGATGCCTGTAGTGAACAGGGGCGGGGGATTTGATATCTAAACTTTTCAACTTTATGGTGCTATAATTCTAAATAAAAATTTGAAAGATAATTTCATCTTTAAGTAGTTTACACAAATTCTCATATGATGAATATTTTTTGTCCAGCTAGAACTTTTTTAAAAAAACGTCTGGAGTAAAGCGTTATCATGTATCTTCAGTTTTTTTTGGGGGGGGGGGCATTTGATCTAACCCCTCCGTCAGTAGGGTTTTGGCCCTGTTATTTTTTATATACATTCACTTGGGTTGTATACCAAAAAATGTTTTTTGGGGTTTCCATTACCTTTAAAGACTGATGAGAATAATTCTGCCTCTTTTTCTCAGTCCCACCAATATTTACAAAACAAAGAACTTTGCCAAATGTTTAACATTGCTCATAATATGAGACACTTGGGAGATATTTGTGAAGGCTTAAATTAAATGTTTTCCAATAACAACATGAATAATAATGATTATTGGCAGAGCTAATGCAATTTAGTATAAGTATTTGGCCCATAAATGGTTTAGGGTCCCAGTTACTGCAGGATGGTAGAATCGTTTTTGAAGTTAACAAAAGATCCAAATAATAAATCTTCTTCAGTTGCATTTATTTTTATCTATTTGGTATTGAGGGGAAGGAAGATATTGGTTTCTGGCTCTACTACTACAGAAAAAAGTACACACCTGAATGCACCAAGGGTAGAAATAAAACTCATAAACATAATCAATCTACTTTCATTTTCGCCCATAAACAACTACTACCATTATTGTTAAAGATACACTGACTTACACTAACATGTATATAGCAGGCTTTGTATAGAAAAATTGTTATATTAAACATGATGGGGTGATGTTAATATTTGCTTATCACAGAAATCTCATTGGGGCTCATTTCAGCTTTGTACTTGTTTAGGTTTATTACTATTGGTTTTTTTTATTAAAAAGTTTTACAAAAATTACAAAATATACCCCAAACCCACCCACCTTTCCCCCCCTCCCCCACTTCCCAGAGCTGAATACAGGGTAAAAAATATAATAATCATAATCTAACTCACATTAACCAACTATGTAGATAAACAAATATAATGCGCTTTAACTCCCTTTTAACACAGAATAAACAATTTGCAAATAAACTTAATCATATAAACAAATTAAAATCCTAATTCATAAACAATACAATATAATAAAAATTTCACTATACTAAACTATTAATAATAATAATAATAACAACAACAATAATAATAATATTTTAAAATTTATTCATAAAATAAGTGGAACCTTTTAGTCCCATATTTATTCTGAATATAATCTATCCATCTTCTCCAAACCGAAATGTATCTTTCTTGTGAATGATCCTTCAAATAAGCAGAAATCTTAGCCATTTCTGCTAAATTTGACACTTTAAGCGTCCATTCTTTTATAGTTGGCAAACAATCCTTCTTCCAATATTGCCCTACCAACAGCCTTGCTGCTGTTATTAAATTCAACATCAAATTAGTTTCCTTAACATCAAAATCTACAATAATACCCAACAAAAATAGTTGAGGAGTAAACTTTATCTTTCTTTTAAAAATATTTTGAATGTTCCACCAAATTTTAATCCAAAAAGCTTTTATATATCTACAAGTCTATTACTATTATTTTTTAATGACTATAATGCAGAGGTTCCCAATCTTTTGGGCACCAGGGACCAGTTACGTAGAGAGAGGTTTTTCCGCGGACCGAAGAGTGCATGGTTTTGTGTGTTGCCTGCATTCTGCGGATGGGCTTTGCTTGTTTATGCAGATTGGTTGCTGGCATGCTGTGGCCCGGTACTGGTCCACGGACCGAGGGTTGGGGACCCCTGCTATAATAGATTTAGCTATTATGATATTTCACTTTAATTTAGGCAATTGTTATTCATTAAATGTATCATTGGGCCTGCTATATGTCCAAGTAAAACAGAAAGCAATTAAATTAAAACAGTGAATCTGAGAATTACCCTTCATTATGAACTAATTTTTACCCACAAAAGCAAATAATTAGATTACATAGTTAGGCAACCCATGAACTAGATGTCAAACAAAGTAGATATTTTTTTACTCTTAAAGTACCCTTGCATGTTTTCATAACACTGATATTTATTTTGTATTACAAAAGAACTGTCAGCACTTTAATTCCATGCAGAGACAAAAAGGCAGAAGATAATAGTTGTGCAGATTGCATCACTCTGGGATGTCATGAAGAGGCTTCTGCCACTCCCAAAATGACATCTACTTCCAGGATATCCAACCCTCTGTCCAGCCTCTCCTTGATCACATCCAGTAAAGGAGATCCTACAATCTTTGTTCCATTAACAAACTGTTGTTACCATTAGGAAGCTTTTTCTAACATTCAAGTGGCCTTTGGCAAGGCTAATGTAGCATTGTCCTTGCTGACCTTTTCTGCTGACATTTCTTGTGTTCAATAAATTCTGAATGAAGCTACTAAAATAAATTTATTGTCTATTGTCTACTGACCATATTAACCCCATTCCTAAGGCTGTGCATTTGCACATAAAATTTTGACTGACAAAACAGCCATAACAATAAAACTTATTCATATTCTTCCAATTCAGCTTCCTCAATAGGCATATAGATTGAATAAATACGAGAGTAATACAGTCTTGTTTCACTTCTTTTGCTATGTTCTGTTTTGCTATGTTCTACCTGGATTCTGGCTTCCTGACCTATGCATGAGATATTGCATGAGAACAGTGAGTTGTTCTGGAATTCCAATTTTGCTAAGCATGTTCCACAATTTGAAATAGTCAGAACAATCAAAGGTCTTTCTATAATCAATGAAACACATATTAACTTCTTTCTTATATTCTTTGATTTTTTTTTCAATTATCCAGCAAGCATCAACAATAAAGTTCCCTGTTCCTTGGCTTTTTCTAAAACCAGTTTTAATACCTGGCATTTCCCTTTAATCTATATTTAATGGTACTATGCATTATTTTGCTAGCATGTGTAATTAAGGACATTGTGTGATAGTTTATACACTGTGTTCTCTCTTTTTTGGTATTATTCTGTAGAGACTGACCTCTTCCAGTTCATTGACCACTGTTTCATTTTCCACTTTTACTGCCATAGTTTCCTAACAATTTGTAATGATACTTCTTCTGTTGCTTGCTGTCTATATATATTCTATCTATTCCTGAAGCTTTTTGATTTGGTAATGACTGGAGTATTGATCTAACTTAATCTTTTAATACTAAAAAAGTTCTTGTAAGTAAGGAATGTCTTCTATAATCCACAATTTTAGTCTACTTTATCATACCTTAACTTGTTCTTCTCTTTCAAACTTCAATCAAACTTTTAGCAATCATTTTATTTTATCATTTTAGCAATCACAAGTTCATCATTTGTACACAATTCTGTTTCAAAATCAGTCTTCAATATTCAACACTGTACATTGTTTTATCTACTCTAAATCTTTCTGATAACTGTAATAAGGAAACCATTGACAGCTATGGCCCTCTGCCATTAGTTGCTCTCTTGATGTTATTTTACATTCCCTTTGACAGAATTGTAGCATCTTGTGATATAACCATTTTGGTTTGACTATTATTCCATATTCTCAGTATAATACATTTACCATACATTTTAAAAATACATTTTTAAAATCTACATTAACCTTGAATTTATTGTACCACAAATTCATGATATATTCATGCCAACCAAATCTCAGGTCATATCCTTCTATCTCTGAAAATCTTCTATTTCTCAGCAATATCCACTCTTTTATCCAAACCAAAAAAATAAGCTGTAAAATACAATTTCAAATCAGGTAAATCCAATCTTCCACTTTCCTTTGAACCTTGTAACACAGAGGGTTACTAAGTTGGTTTATAATTGTTGTGATGAAGTTTGGAAATCATCTTTATATATTTCTTTTATCTTTATTATAGTCTTACTTTTTTTTCTTTCTTCTGTCCTTTTTTCTTGTGCTTTTTACTCCTTTCTATTGTCTTTTCTTTCTTTACTTTGTATTATATTTTACTATTATAATCAAAATTCTTGATAAAAATTATGCATATAATAAAATAAACACCATTTATATTGCAAAAGTTCCTCAGCTCTTCCTTAGTAGCATGTTGAGTGCCATTTGCCATTATATCATCAATCATTTTATATTTACTGACTGCAGTATTTTCTTGATAAAATACAGGAATAGTTTATCACTGGATTCTTCTGCTCAGTATGAAATGAGGCTTTTCCCACTGTCTCAAAAATGATCATCCATATCTTCCTAGACCACTACTGCCTTGTGTAGAAGTCTGGTTGCTTTAGCTTGAAGCTGGGATGATCTTCACATCTTGTATAAACCTGCTGGGAAGATATACCAGCAGCATTCTTCACTCATCTCTCCTAGGAACATCCTCCATCATAATGTGGCAGCATTACAGGACTTGAGATCATCAAACTTCATGCCAATTTATTCATTTGTTTAATAAATCCAAGCTTCCTAGATTCACACAGCCTCAAAACTAAATCAAATAAGCCAAGCAGTGACTTAGCACAATACCCAAATCTCTGGTACAAATGTTAGTATATAAGGAATGAAGAATTGGAGAGATTAAATACAGAGTCAGATGTTTAAATGACACATTTGGATTTTATAAGCCACTCAGAATCTATTTATTTTATAAATAAATATAATTTAGGGTTTGTTGCTACTAAGATTTGTACACAACGTGTGTTTGCAAGACATTTTACCATTAACAAACCATGAACAGATGGTTTGGAAGCTAAACGAGTACTGTTCAGGGCAGGAGTCTGTAGAGACAAAATAAGCAACAGGACACTATATCTACTAACAAAGCAGAGGCATCAGAAGAATTATAGTCTTTTTTCAAAATGACAAAAACAGTATGATGTTATAAGTATCATCCTTTTGTATATGATTTGTGAAATGTGCTTATTAGTGCAACAAAACTACATCTGAGTTTCTAGATGTGATATCTTGAATATTTATACTTTTTATATCAGTTGCTACAGACTATGCAGAATAAGGAACTGGTGATTCAGATTTAGGGGCTTCCAACACAACAATTCAAAATTGCTAAAAATGTATTCATTATTTGAAAAAACACTGTATTTCCTCTTTCTAAAGCTATATATAGTTCAGACCATAAAACAGCTACTTTGATTGTGAAGCAATCAAAAATCATCATAAGGTGAATTGAGGACAACCTTTTTGGAAATGCATATGGTATGCCACGTTTTTCATCCCAAAGAACCAAACACAGCAGAAAGCATAACAGTTTAGGATCATTAGACTCCGACAATCAACAACAGAATTGCTGTAGAAGAAAATATATATATATAAAAATCCCCCCTTTAACTATTAGGACTTGTATTAGGTAAGTACCTGTAGTAATTAGTCATCAGATTGAATGTAAAATTACTACCTCGTAATTTTTTTCAGGTTTCTCAAAGAAGAAAATATACAGAAGTAAGAGTTTAGATGCTGGTAGGAATGACAAAGAAGTGGTGGGAAGAAGGAAGATTATTAGGACATTCCTGAGCTTGTCCCATAGCCTCATAACTCTCCACCTCCATATTCACAGGTGCAGATGACTGAACAAAGCAGTAATTCTGATTTGGCTTCATCTGGATTTCACATTCCTTTGAGCTCAGCCCCCATGTGATCTCATCTCTCTAGCCTTATAATGTATAATCAAGCAGTTGCTTCTCTTAAATGCCCCAGGAATGACTCTATGTCACATGTTTTCCCAGATGAAATCTCCAAATAGGCTCCTGGGTCTAGAGAAGAATTTTGGCAAGTCAACCTAACGTCAAATTATTGTAAATAAGAAATCTGGCAAACTGCTTCTTTAGATACACAAACCATTAAGGTAGGATTTTTTTGAATTTACATGTTTAAACCACCCAATAGCTGAAGCTCTCTACAATAAAGCACACTAAAAACTATTTGAACAAAAACAAACACAGTACATAATGTCAACACCAAATAAACTAGGTGGACTTGAGGCTGCTATCTAAAACTAAAACCTTAATTTAAGTACAATTAAAAGCCAGAAACAAAGGCTGAGAAAATAGAAAGGTTTTCACCTAGTATCAAAATTATGTTACTATGGGTGCAGTCAAGTCACTCTCGGGAGGACATTTCATAAATGGGATGCTACTGCAGAAAAATTTCCCCCATAAAGGCCTTTCATAAGGCCTTTGATAAGGTGACGGACAGAAGGATGATTTTAAGCTTTGGGTTATATAATGGGAAAAAGGGATAACTTTGCGAACAAGTGGAAGAACTACAAAAAAAAAAAAAAAAAAAAAAAACAAAGGAAAGAATTTTGAGTATAGGCCAGAAACTGTAACCTGAGTAAGTAAGTGTTGCAAACAAGCCCCCCCCTTGCCCTCTCTCTCTCATAGTTCATTAGACTCCTACAACAAAATAAATGTATAACAAATTAAAAAATAAAAATAAGAAAAAGATAGGAAAGAAGAAAAAAAGGAAAGAATGAAAACCCCTCAGAATTTTAACTTTTGCCTTTCTTTCTATCAATTGCAATCTTACTCTTTTCCCTTTCTCTTTAACCTTAATCCTCAATGCCATAAATCATCAGTTCCATCTTCTTTCAATAAAAAGTTCATATAAAGCTTCCAGTATTTTTAAAAGAGTCCTTATTCTTTACATTCTCAAAGTACTATGTGCAACAACTGCTAGAGAGAATCTACAGGAAAAAGGTATACAGTCTGTTTGTATAATGTGATATTATGTTCATGATTTTCAATATGGTATGTTTACTACATGATTTCTTACATTTTCCTTTATTCCAAGCATTTCAAATATTCTAAGAAGTAGTCTAAATTAAACTCAAATGTATTTGATCATAGATAGAGTCAGTTAACCCTTGACCCTGGCAACAGTTTTCAGCTGTGAGCCCTCTTTGATTGTGTTACTAAAGTTGGCACAATTCTAAAAAAGCAATCATTCATTAAAAAAAGTCAATCTCTCATAAAAATAATCAAGTAGACAATAAAATATGTGTATGATTTTTTTTTAAAAGGAGGGGGAAATATCAAAACATCAATCAAATTGTATCAAATCTATCTTGAGATCCTGCTCACTGCATGGCATTGGCCTAAATACTGTAGCTAATACCATCCCAAATATTCTTTTCTTTCCACCAGAATGTTGCCCATTCAATATAGATGAACACTTAGCCAGAATCTACTGCATAATTTGCAACGTTTTAAAATGGCAAATCAAGTCCTAAAGTCACCTTTCAATTTTACATTCTAGATTTTTCTTACATACTGTATACAACTCAAATTTACAGAAGTATCATTCTGTAAATTATTAGAAAAGAATTATTAAGCAGAGAAACTCTAAGAAATAATAAAATCTCAGGAGAATGATAATGGAATGGTAATAAACGCTGCCACCCTTTCTGATATTGTTCCAATGTACTACACCACAGAAAACTTCAATGTAGTTTATATTTTATTTGGCAATAATCACTTTTCTTTTAAAAAATTAAGTGCATGTTCAAAGGAGTACATGAAAGGATGTAGCCTGGAACAGATGGCTTAAGGATGCCAGAATGAACTGATGCTTCCTGCTGCTGGAAACGACAGAGATGGAATGTATGGCTGCCAAACTAGCTTAGCTTAAAGTCTAACAGACCATGAGCTGATGCAAGGAGGGCAAGATGGTCAAGAACAGCATCAATCCACTTAAATTACTAGTATACTTTATAGGCTGTCCTCAGCTTAAGATTTATAAAGCAATTCTAGCGTGACTGCATTTATGGTGCTTGGCAACTGGCTCATATTTATAAATGATTGCCAAGTACCCACAATCAGATGATCGCCATTTGCAATTTTCTCTGCCACCTTCCATAGAAAGTCAATGGGAAAGCTGGCAGGGAAGATTGCAAACAGAGAGGAAGAAGTGGGATTTCTCCTTCATGCATGACCGTTTCGCTCACCGGCTGAGATTCCAATCCCAATTATTATCATAAGTTGAGGTCTAGCTGTACAAACAGCTTTTTTACTGGCTCTTCACATCTACATCTAATAATAGAGTGGTTCTGAAAACCCTCCACAAAAATGGGCATCTTTTAGGAAACAGACATTAAGAATCAATACTAAAAGCAATCCAAGGTAAAAATAGTTTATAAGGCACATGTAATTTAGAAAACACAAGATTTGAGGGTATCTGTCCCTAAATAACATGAAGAGAAAATGATAGAGAATCCTGATTTTATATATCCGTTATCTTTAACTGATTTTCCAAAAGATTCATTGATAAAATAAATCATGAGTGATAAAGTTTTGGGGAAGGAATGCCCAAAGAAGATAAAACCAACTTAGTTTTTAAAAGATATTACAGTAGATGTGATCTGAATTTCTATCCTTATAACCATTATTTCTTTTTAGTAATAATTTTTATTATCATTTACAAATATAAAAATAAAAAACTAGTAGAACTAAGGAAAATAAAATAGTAAAAGGGCAGAAAAGAATATTTAAAAAGAAAAATTAAGAAATATTAAATAATAAAAAAACCAATAAAAAGAAAAAACATATGAAGAAATGACTTCTCCCTTCATCAAGACAAATGCAATTTCAAAACTTACAACTTTCTGGGACTTCCGGTGGATTTGCGCGGGCGATGGCGGCTACTTTGTAGCCGTCCTCCTGGGTAAGTGTAATGAATCGCTATGAACAGCGGACATCAGCTGTTCAGCGGTTCAAAATCCCCCTCCCGGGCAAAGGGGGGGGAAAGAGGGTTGTTTGAATAGTGGTAGAGCCACTCTCTTGCACCCCCAAGGCTTTTTGGGGGGGCTGAGAGGAGTGCTCCCACGGAGTTCAGACTGTCTCTGCTTCCCAGCTGCTTTTGTCCCTAGGGACAAAACAAGCCGTTGTAACCACCTCCGCGTTTAAAGAGATCTGGTGAGTTTTTTTAGAAGCGGACAGAGTTGATTAGAGGATTTACTTTTTGCTTTCTTTGACTTCATATGCATTTTAAGTTTAAAGATTTATTTTCATGTTTATATTCTCTCCTTTTACTTTTTACTTTTTGCTGAAAGGGAAAGTAAAATGGCGATCGGCAGACTTTCCGGCGTTTTTTTGGGGGGGAAGCTAGAATGGAGATCGGTTTCTTTTACTTTCTCTTTTCTTTTTTTCTAATGTTTGGATGGATTTTAGAAGCATTATTATTCTTGATTTTTTAGTTTTGCTTTTTGTATTTTTAACAGTCAGGCTTTTTGGTGTTTAAGCATTATTGTTTTTGTTTGACTTTTTTGCTTTGTCTTTTGTATTTTTAAAAGGCAGGCTTTTTTGTGTTTTTTTTTCTT